TGCGGGAGGTACACGCGCGAGGGATAGGCGGCGAGCGCGGGGAGTGCGCGATGGCGCGCGCGTACGAGGTGGACGTCCCATACCGCACGGGACTAGGAGAAGCAAGGGCGGAGTGCGCGTGCGGGCAGTGCGCGCAAGAGACCCAATCCGCCGAGGAGTGTGAGTGCGAGACGCGCGCGCGCGAAGCCGCGCGCGACAAGGATTAGGTCTCGAAGGTCGGCGCGCGCAAAGGCGGTTAGGGCGTGCGTGCGTGAGGCGGCCGAGAGTACTTGGGGCATGTGGATTTGTTTGGAGTGCAAGCCAAGCAAAATCAAGATCTAGTCAATTTAGGACTTTAGATATTTAGTTTCCTTCTTGCACAATAATATCTAGATTGTATAGGATATTTAATATTTAATTGCTTTAATTAGTTTCCTAGGTAGATTAGAATTAGTCATAGTTAGGATCTATAAATAGGGATCATCCCCCATTGTTTTTGGGAGTCTTGGAATGGAATAGAAAAGAACGTTAGTTCAAACCGTGTGTTGAGAGTCGTGAGATTCGATCATACAAATCGAATTGGTGAGGCTAAGACCCGAACCAGTTCAACGATTTAGAGAGGCTAAGACCAGATCCATTTCGCGAGTGAAACGAGGCTAATAACCAAGTGAACTCAAGTATCGTGAGAGAGTTAGGCTAATAACCGAGTCGATCACACCTATCGTCGAGAGCAAGGCCGTGGCGAAGCCGTGATCGAGACAAGTCGAGGACACGAACATCTGATCCTTCATCAAAGGCGAACGACGTCAAATTTGAGGGGAGGCGGCGAGTTTTTTTCCTTCTGCGAGGGTTTTCTTTAGAGAATAAAATACACAACCTTTTTTTTTCAAAATTGTTAAATCAGAATTGTTTAATTATTATGAAAAAAAAATTCTAATTCATGATGGCCGAAAAACTTTAGGATGGCGATTGAATTAGTTGGTTAAGTAACATAAGTAAACGTACAGTTGTGATTGAATTGATTTTCTGATATACATTTGTTGTTAGAGTAATGCTCCCCTATCCACGGTGGACACATGTTAATATGCCCACCGCTTATGTGGCATGCACACATTGGTGATGTACTTTTTGAATATATTAACATCACCAATGTATGCATGCCACATAAACGGTGGGCATATTAACATGTGCCCACCGTGGGTAGAGGAGCATTATCCTTTGTTGTTATTGATAACGTGATAATATATATATATATATATATACTTTATTTTTGTTTTTTCATTATTACAAGATACGATAAATACCAAAAAAATTTATAGGATTTTATATGTGTATATTTTGTAAAATATTTATGCACAATATTTTATTTTAAATTTATTTACATATTTTAAATTATATATATTAATAAGTATTATTAACAAACATTAAATATTTTTCATTACATAAAATAAAAAGAAAAAAATACTATTTCTATAACTTTTATAACTAATAATGATGACAATATATAAAGAATAAATTTAGAAATACAATAATAATTATGTATTATATGGTGAACAAGAGTAGGTAAAACTGTTATTTTTTCTTATATCAATAAATAAATATCTTTACTAAAATCAAATTTTTATTAGTATAAACGTCTTAGAAGGAATATATTAGCTCATTTACAGACTAGCCCTAACATAATTAGATTGTTCCCAACAAAAAAAATGTTGATTGAAAGAGGTAGAAAATGGATGATTTAACCCTATTTTTTTGGGGCCTAAACGGACCGTCCTTGGAAATGACTTAACTAACATTTCTATTTCGTGTTAGCTACGTGCTAGTTTCGATTGATTCAATTTTCATTTTCATATTCGATCAATATCTTTACATATGGAAGCATATTTGTATGGAGTCAAAATCTCTAGTTTAAAATGAATAAAAATCTTACAAATTAGTGTTTATGTATACATTATTTTTAATTTAATTTGCATCTTCTAAAATGTTAGGTGCAAAACTTCACCTCCAACTATTTGATTACTTCATCGAAACTTGTACACTAAAGAATTTGCACTTATGTTAATTAAAAAAAAACGAAAAAAAAAAAATTGCACCTATGAAGAACTGCATTTTTCAAAGTGCAAAAGTGAGTGTAACTTTGTAACCCTAATAATTTTTCTCTCTCCTCAAAATCGAAAAAATCCTAAAATTTGCATCAAACCTTAATTGTCGTCCTTGTTGTGCCTTTTCATAGGTAGATGCCTCGCACCCCTTGATGTTGACCAACACTAGGGACAACCCTGGTCCAGCTGCGTTTGCTTCGGTATGCTCTCGGTTCCTCTCTCCGTGTGGGTATATTTTCTTTTCGGGTTGCCATGGCGGGTGTGCGAGGCCTGAAGGCTAGAGCGTTCTCGTTGTGGCGGACGCTGTCTATAGCCTTGCGACGGTTGGGGCGGAGGTCAGCACCTTGGTCTTCCCCTGTTTCGACCTATCCTTGGTGTTGGGATGGCGGGTCCTTCCAACGGTGGCGATGCTGTGGCGCTGTGTCTTACAGTGTGCGCGAGGAGAGTTATGGTGCGAGTCTAATGAGGTTGAGTCAATAGTGAACTGTGGGAGGATTTTGGGTCCATTGGCCTTGATCTAGTTAGCTGTAGGGGGAGTTTCTAGATCCGGTGTGTTTGGTCGTGGATCCCGTTGCTTTCTTTTCGGTTGACCATGTTGGGTGTTGGCTCGGGTTGTGGTAGTGCGGGTGTTTTTCGACTGGTAGGGAGGGTTGACCATGTTGGGTGTTGGCCTTAATCTAGGAGTCTTTATTCTTTGTGGGGAGATGCTCCGGTCCCGTTACGGAATCATTCCTTCGGAGCTTATAACCTACATGATGATCTAGCGATTACAAACCCCGACAGAATAGTTTCGTAACGAGATCGTAGCATTTCCCTTCTTTATGTGTGGGAGTTATTTTAGTTTTTGATTTTGTGTGTTTTGTTTGTTTCTAGATTTGTTCTAGCTACCATTAGTGTAGCCCTCCCAACTAGCTTTATCTAGTCTGTAGTTATGTATTGTTATTAATAGGAAAATAAGGGTAAATAGGAGCAAGTACGAAAATGTAAGCAGCGCCTCCGGAAAGACTTGTTTTCGAACACGACACCTTTATTTGATGTGGATATATTTATCGCCCCATCGTGTTTTGAAGCAAAATGGTACACATTTAAGAAACTCGAGGAAAATAAGGGTAAATAGGAGCAAGTACGAAAATGTAAGCAACGTCTCCGGAAAGACTTGTTTTAAAACACGACACCATTATTTGATGTGGATAACATATATTTATCGCCCCATCGTGTTTTGAAGCAAAATGGTACACGTTTAAGAAAGTCGAGGAAAATAAGGGTAAATAGAGGCAAGTACGAAAAAGTAAGCAACGTCTCCAGAAAGACTTGTTTTCGAACACGACACCATTATTTGATGTGGATAACATATATTTATCGCCCCAACGTATTTTGAAGCAAAATGGTACACATTTAAGAAACTCGAGGAAAATAAGGGTAAATAGGAGCAAGTACGAAAATGTAAGCAGCGCCTCCGGAAAGACTTGTTTTCGAACACGACACCTTTATCGTATTGCATTTTCTATAGAATTGTTTTTTTTTTTTTCCTTAAAGAGAAGTTTAATTGAAATATTAGTCAATAAAAATTACTTATAATGTTTTGACAGTGCGTCAGTTAAATCTAATAAACTAAATTTTATATCACAATCAAAATCTGTATATCACAATCAAAATCTCTATGGAGGATCACAAGATATTATATGGAATATGAAAATGTAGGGCCAAACAAGAAGGTTTGACTGATTTTTATTCATACTTCATATGTAAATTGATAGATAAAATAAGATTCTAGTTCTGATAATAATAAAATAATGTTTTCATTTTCTTTTGCCACCAATATCACAGCTAATTACAGACCAACACAATCCCTCCTTTGAGCCCCCACCATATCTATCAACTCTTTATTTTCCCTCCAGTTTTTTTTCTTTTTTTTTTTTTCCCTCCGTCATGGCATTGTACATCGAGCTTCAAGCACTTGTACATTCTCTTACACATTTTCATTTATTCACAAATTGTTTATTGACACGTATCATACGATAAATACATTTTAAACAGATGTCAATATATTAAGTAATTGATGGCTCCATAAAATTTATATATATATATATGCATGGGTTACACACACAACTCGGTGTTTCTGTGTGAGAGAGGAGCCTCTAGAGAGAGAGAGAGACTAATATATCAACATAGGTTTAGAGCAGAAGCGCCACCATTGAGGCTTGAGCCGCAAAATCAAAAACCCTAGTCAAAATTCCGTGACTCAGCGCAATGGATGCCGAGTCGACTCAGCGGCAGCAAGCCCAGTTGATGGCGATTCTGGGCCCGGACCCGGCGCCCTTCGAGACCCTGATCTCACACTTGATGTCTACGGCCAACGAGCAGCGGTCACAGGCCGAGTCGATCTTCAATTTGCTTAAACAGAATGATCCCAACTCGCTTGCCTTGAAACTTGCCAACCTGCTTTCCTCATCCGCCCACCCCGAGGCCCGCGCCATGGCCACCATCCTCCTCCGGAAGCAGTTGACCCGGGATGAGTCTTTCATCTGGCCGAAACTCACTGACTCCACTCGCGCGGCCGTTAAAAACATCCTCCTATCCGTCATCCAGAGCGAGGAGACTAAATCGGTTATCAGAAAGCTGTGCGACACCATATCGGAGCTTGCCTCCTCGCTCCTCCCCGCCAACGAGTGGCCCGAGATATTGCCTTTCATCTTTCAATGCGTGACTTCCAGCTCCACTAAACTGCAGGAATCCGCTTTCCTGATGTTCTCTCAACTGGCTCAATTCATAGGAGAAATGCTGATTCCTTACATCACGGATTTGCACACTGTTTTCTTGAATGTGCTAAACAATTCCCCCAATCCTGATGTTAAGATTGCCGCCTTGAGTGCGGTTATCAATTTTATCCAATGTCTGTCGAGTTCCAATGATCGGGATAGGTTCCAGGATTTGTTGCCCTCAATGATGAGGACTTTGACCGAGGCACTCAACTCAGGTCAGGAGGTCACCGCCCAGGAGGCTTTGGAGCTGTTGATAGAGTTGGCAGGGACCGAGCCCAGGTTTTTGCGCAGGCAGATTGTCGATGTTGTGGGGTCCATGTTGCAGGTGGCTGAAGCCGATAGCTTGGAGGAGGGCACGCAGCACTTGGCTATTGAATTTGTGATTACTCTGGCCGAAGCGCGAGATAGGGCCCCCGGCATGATGCGCAAGCTACCACAATTTATCAGCAGGCTCTTTGCTATTTTGATGAAGATGCTTTTGGATGTAGAGGATGATCCTGCGTGGCATAGTGCAGAGGCTAAGGATGAGGATGCAGGGGAGACGAGTAATTATTGTGTCGGGCAGGAGTGCTTGGACAGACTTGCAATTGCCCTTGGTGGGAACACTATAGTTCCTGTGGCATCAGAGCAGCTGCCGGCTTACCTGTCGGCACCTGAGTGGCAGAAGCATCACGCCGCCCTCATTGCCCTTGCGCAGATTGCAGAGGGTTGTTCTAAGGTACTAGGCGGAACATCATTTTTCTAGTCCTCAATATAATTATGATGACTTAAGTGTCGGGTTTGTTTAATTTCTGCTGGTTGTTTCATTTGATTATTCCTTATGATTCATTTTTGTAAGAAATGGTCAAGCTTCTCATACATTTTTATTCTGTTTTAAGTTTATAATTAGGATGGTAATTGTAATGTGGAAAAAGCCCAACTTTTTAGCTGTATTTGGAGAATTCAATTGTTGTTTGGCTTGGTTGGAGAAACTAAATTATGGTTCTTTACTTCTTTTCTGCTTTAACATAGGCTCTGGGTTTGTCGGCGTACTATCCTTTTTGGTCTATTTGGATTTCCCCAAGAAAACTGAAGTTGCTCCTTTAGATATGACAAAATTGCATTCATTATCCACATTGCAGGTCATGATTAAGAACCTGGAGCAAGTAGTGAACATGGTTTTGAAGTCCTTCCAACACCCTCATCCTCGTGTGAGATGGGCCGCAATTAATGCAATTGGTCAGCTCTCAACTGATTTGGGCCCAGATTTGCAAGTGCAGTACCACCAGCATGTGCTGCCAGCTTTAGCTTCAGCAATGGATGATTTTCAAAATCCACGAGTACAGGTTTGCAGATTCTGAAGATCATTAACTTTTATGCATGACTTAATATAACCTTTTAGCTTCTTTTAAGATTCTTCAGAATTTACATTGCTTAAATATGAATATATTCAATTTTGATTCCTATAGTTGCAAGATGGTTTTTCATGGTTATTTGTTGGGAAAAAAAAAAAAATAACCATAGAAAATTATGCTACTGTCAGTTAAAAGATCATAGAGAAATACCGATTCATTTCGTCCACCACAACTCCTACCGAAAAAAGTAGACTGTTTCAGGAATATGAAGAATCTTTATTGAGTTCTTTGAAGTAAGACGTTTAAGGGTATTGTTGTAGAAGTGTCTGTAAGTACACTTGCATGTTATGAGGTTTTTGTGGACATTTCTGCTTTCTGGTTTCAGTTAAGTGTGTTGCCATCTAATTACTATTCATATTATATTCATGTCTTGATTTTTATTGAGTATATTCTTACTTGGGTTGGTGATATCATAGAGGTTTACGTCTACTCTCGTCCTTATCAAAGACCAGGTCATCATACTCTTTATTATGTGCTAATATCATAGCTATTGTTTTTACTTTGCATACTCTTCATTGTTTTTTAAGGCACATGCAGCTTCAGCTGTGTTGAACTTCAGTGAAAATTGTACACCAGAAATTTTGACACCCTACTTGGATGGGATAGTGCACAAATTACTTCTGCTGCTACAGGTATTTGCTTGAAGGCATACCTGGATGTCTTGGCCGTATTTGATTCCATACAACTGTTTTCTAAACTGATTATGCTTTATAAAACTGCAGAATTCCAAACAAATGGTGCAGGAAGGTGCATTAACTGCTTTAGCTTCAGTTGCTGATTCGTCTCAGGTATACCAACGTTGTAAATGTTCTTTATGTCATCGTTGTTGCTTCCTCTAGGTACTGAAACTGTATGTGTTACTATCTCAGGAATACTTCCAGAAATACTATGTTGCTGTTATGCCTTACTTGAAAACTATCTTGGTAAGTGCAACCGATAAGTCTAACCGAATGCTTCGTGCCAAAGCAATGGAGTGCATCAGCTTGGTAGGGATGGCCGTTGGAAAAGATACATTCAAGGAGGATGCCAAGCAGGTGAAAAGCCAATTATCTTGGCTGTTTTCCTTTAAAACCATTTTGCTTCTTTGCTGCTGATGCATGTATTTTGGAATTTTGACGTTCCCTTATGGCCTTATTTATACTAATTCTGTGAAATATGATATATTTGCTGAATTCGATTTTATCGGAATCAATTGTTGGATAAAAGTGAGTTAATTAGGCTTATATTGATTGTCATAATTCTGGATTTCATCTTTTGTTTTTGTATTGAAGGTCATGGAAGTCCTCATGTCATTGCAAGGATCACAAATGGAGACAGATGATCCGACAACTAGCTATATGTTACAAGTACACCATTGTCCCTGGAAGCTGAAGAGTGATGTTTTTGTATTTTCTTTATGTAAGTTCTATAACCAGTTGTTTTGTCCTGTTATAGGCATGGGCTCGACTTTGCAAGTGCTTGGGACAGGATTTTCTACCCTATATGAGTGTGGTCATGCCTCCTTTGCTTCAGTCTGCTCAGCTAAAGCCTGATGTGACTATCACTTCTGCTGATTCAGACAATGAATATGATGAATCAGATGACGAAAGGTTCGCTTTATTTCCATGCTTATCGCTTAAATATCATGTCACTTCTATATATAACGAGGCATATCAATGGAAGTACATCTGCTGTGAAGTAATTATACTGTAGGATTCTTGGGATCTCTTTGTATCTTTTTTTCTTGTCTTTTTAGCGTGGGGTAATGTTTAGTTCTAATTTTTTCCAGTGAGGTGGGGGTCGGATTATTTATGAGATTCTTTTCAAACAGATACATGTATTCTTGGAATTAGTTGGAGAAATCTATTTTCTCTTTCAAATTTTTGTTGTCCTGCTACTCAGGAACACGGGTCTCTCGTTTACTAGCCAATATGCCTTTCTCATATGTCCTTGTTTCTTCACCATTAGTCATACATGCATGCATGCACACAGACACACATACATATTTATTGTATCCAAACTGCCTGTTTGAGAACTAAAATGTAGAATTAATTTCCTGACTCCATATCGCTGGTCCTGTCTTGAGTGGTGGGGTGATCAGTCCACCCATTTAGTGGTTAATTGCTTACATTTTCTTACAGCTATCTTGAACTATGGACACTAAAAGAAACTACCATGTAAGCAACTGTCTGTATCGAAACAGTTGTGATACTGAATTCAGCTTTCTTCTATATCGCAGCATGGAGACCATAACCCTAGGTGATAAAAGAATAGGAATTAAAACTAGTGTTCTTGAAGAGAAGGCTACTGCGTGTAATATGCTTTGTTGCTATGCTGATGAGTTGAAGGAAGGTTTCTTTCCCTGGATCGATCAGGTTCGTGATGGTATTATTTGTTTTTCATATGCATATATGATGGATGATAGGTTGGTGATGATATGATTTGCTTTTTATGTATATTCGATGGATGATGTTAAGAATCAATCTGAAGCTTTTATGGACTAATATAACTGGTTCAGGTGGCCCCAACTTTAGTTCCGCTTTTGAAGTTTTATTTTCATGAAGAAGTTAGGAAAGCTGCTGTTTCAGGTAATATAGGTTTTGCTTTGGACAGTTTCCCTTGTTATACAATGTTGTACATGTTTTCAGGTTTATTCTATTTTTCATGGCAGCAATGCCGGAGCTGTTGCGCTCTGCAAAGTTGGCCGTGGAGAAAGGGATTGCTCAGGGCCGTAATGAGACATATGTTAAGCAGCTATCTGACTATATAATTTTACCCTTAGTGGAAGCTTTACATAAGGTGGGGGTTATACTAAACTGGGATCTTTATTGGGAAATGAACGAATTTCAATAGTTATATTAGTTTTTGGTACTGATGTATGCAAATTTTTTCTCTTTCAGGAGCCTGATACAGAGATTTGTGCCAGTATGTTGGATGCGTTGAATGAATGTGTCCAGGTATGTCTATTTTGTTGTACATTGAAATATAACTTAGCTGTAATATATAATGTACTGTTGAAATTGCTGCATGAAGTATCAGATCTTGGTTTACATTCTAGATCTTTAGAAATTTAGATGGCCTCTGAAGCAATCTGAGTAGTAAACTGAATTTCCACTTAGGAATCGGAAGATAGTTGAATTCTACTACTCCCTTGCTAGGTTTGAATTAACAGATGTTTGGAATAGTTCCTAATCAATTTGCAATTTTGCATTGTTTCATGTACAGATGCTTCAATCTTAAATAGCACTAGTAGTCTAAATTATATTTTCTCGGCCTTTCTAATATTATTATGAGTGTTTTTTAGTTGTCTTGTGACCTTGTCTGTTAGAACTATATTCGTTACTCACCATTCACCATATAATTTCTCCTCAGGTATCTGGACAGCTTCTGGATGAAAGTCAGGTTAAAAGCATAGTTGACGAGATCAAACAGGTAATCACTGCTAGCTCAAGCAGAAAGAGGGAGAGAGCTGAAAGAGCAAAGGCTGAGGATTTTGATGCTGAGGAGGGAGAATTGCTTAAAGAGGAAAACGAGCAAGAAGAAGAAGTGTTTGACCAAGTTAGTCTTTTATTACTGTTCTGTCATAGACACGGACTCCTATGTTTTAGTCTTGCAAGTTGGTAAAATAATTTCTTCAAAGCATAACATTATCTAAGTTGGTGGTGCTGGTTTAGGTTGGTGAAATTTTGGGAACGTTGATCAAAACATTCAAGGCCTCTTTCTTGCCCTTCTTTGATGAACTCTCGTCATACTTGATGCCTATGTGGGTAAGTGTTACTTGTTCATCAATCGTGCCTTCATTACCCTTTTTTCCCTTTTCCTGATACCTTGACTGAAGGTGGTGTGAAAAATAAGTTTTGATAAGGATTCAACAAATATTGGAAGTTGATTTATATGGCTATCCTTTACCTCGTCACCACTAAGGTTGTGTGCTTTCTTGCAGGGAAAGGATAAGACTGCTGAAGAGAGAAGGATTGCTATTTGCATATTTGATGACGTGGCTGAGCAATGTCGTGAAGCAGCTCTTAAGTATATAACGATATCACAACAAGTACTGAGGAAATTAATTCATATTATGGAAATTCTTGATACATTTTTTTTTTTTTTTTTTTTTTTTTTTTTTGTGTGAACCAGGTATTATGATACATATCTTCCTTTTCTCTTGGAAGCATGCAATGATGAAAATCCTGATGTCCGGCAGGTTTGTAGACTACCTAACAGTCATATTGGGTGTTGATTATGCTATGAATGTTTCTTCTAAATTGCCTTGTTGCTAATCTCAGGCTGCTGTCTATGGGCTTGGGGTATGTGCAGAATTTGGTGGTTCTGTGTTCAAACCGCTAGTGGGAGGTAAGATGTTCTTACATGTGCTCTTCGACTGGTGGCTTTCATTTTTAGAATTCACTCTTATCTTGTTATTTTTTCATTCAGAGGCTCTTTCGAGGCTGAATGCTGTTATCAGAGATCCCAAAGCTTTGCAGGCAGAAAATGTGCTGGCATACGATAATAGTGTTTCAGCCCTGGGAAAGATATGCCAATTTCACCGTGACCGTATTGATTCAGCTCAGGTATTTTCTGTAACTTGTTATTTGATTCACATAAATAATACCAAAATTTGATAAAATTAAATCCAATTATAAGTCGTAGCACGCTTACCATCAATATCACTCTGTATGGCATGCTTGATGCCGGCTATATATATTAGTGTAAATAAATCTGGACCAACAGCTTTCCAGTAGATATATGATATCAGCGGCTCCTGAAAGCATGTATTGTTAAATTAAAGCATAAACTGAGTGCATTTTTAGAGGTTTGCGTATTATCTGTTTTCATTGTGCAGTTCGTCCTAATTGTTATATGTAAGAACATTCTCATCTTGCTTTGAATAGTATAAGAAGGGAGCATTATCTGTGTTCTCTTTTGGCTCCACAGCAGCTTGAATTATGTGATACTTTGTGTTCACCCTAAACATGCACATAGAATGCACACATTTTTAATCTTAGTTTTGCTTGGTGTCCCCCTCACCCCTCAGTGGACATGGAATGTAGACTTGGTGAGGTTCTGGTGCATTGTATAATATTTTGGAATGAAGATCCCTTGAATCTCGTATGAAGTCTACTCGTTGATCATTCAGATTCAAACAAATGTAGTGCTAATGTTTCCATGTTCCCTACATTTTTTCAAAGTCTTACTGCTACAAATTTCTTGTAGGTGGTTCCTGCATGGCTGAGTTGCTTGCCAATAAAAGGTGATCTTATTGAAGCAAAAGTAGTTCACGACCAGCTTTGCTCCATGGTCGAGAGGTGAAAGTCTACAAATTTTACATCTAACCATCGTTCGTTCCTGTTTGCATATTGATAATTTCTTTCCATTGGCAGGTCTGATAGAGAACTTTTGGGACCCAACAATCAGTATCTTCCTAAAATTGTCTCTGTGTTTGCTGAGGTTTGTTTTACAAATCCTTTCAAGCACAACATATGTTATCTATATGCTAGTCAAGTATACAAGTGTGTATATACAAATTATGATGAAACTGTTAATGGTTTTGTACTAAATCTCAGTGATAAATAAATTACAGAAACTGACCATGGTATTCTACCTAACCACTGGAAAACCCAAATATCTGAAAAGTTACAATGAGCTCCAAAAAGTTAAAAAGGCCTTTTTGTATTTTTTGGTTCAGATTCTTTGTGCAGGCAAGGATCTTGCCACAGAGCAAACTGCTAGTAGAATGATTAGTTTGTTGAGACATTTACAACAAACACTGCCCCCATCGACCTTTGCTTCCACGTGGTCGTCCTTGCAGCCCCAGCAGCAGCTGGCACTGCAGTCAATTCTTTCATCATAATTGCTGCCCGATGGCTTATACAATTTGATTTCCGACGTGTTTGTCTTGGAGCACGTGTCATGGGTTGATCTGTGCCAGGCCCACATGAAATACTCGATTCTTTCAATATCCTTCATTTACAATGCATGAAGCCCAGTTGGTTTAGTCTGTCTAGTGAATGCATACTTGAAGGTCATCAAGACTTCCATACAATGTATACAATAGTATTGAATTGCTGTGTGAAAGCATAAATCCGAATTTTTTAGGGTGGTTTGGTCCCAAAGGGTATGGGGCCCCTTTTATTTTGGTGAGATATTTTTTTTTTTATTTTTTTTTATTTTATTTTATTTTTTTTATTTTTTCTTTTTGGGTTAATTTGTTTATGGCAAGAGGCAAATTACCCTGTCAAAGTTTTGTTCTGGTGAGTCATGATGTTGTTCACAGCACACATAGTCATAGCACAAGGACATGGATATACATGTATTTTATTTTTTGTCACATTTGTTGAATTATATTTGATGTCTTTTCGTGTTTAATTTTTTTTTTTTTTTTTTT